TTTTATAAACATTGGAATTAAAATAGCCCATTTTAACACTTTCTCTTAAGAAATATGAAAATATTATAGAATTTTTTCATAAAATTTTTAAAGTATTAACATTTTAATCGGCTACAATTATCTCTAGGAATCAATAATAAGTAAATAAAAATATTAACTCATTTAGTTATTTCTTTTGCCTTGGTTTTGAACTTAGATTTACTATTTCATTTTCCAGGTTTCTAGCGTCCAGCTACGAGATGACCTGCTATCCATGTTGGTTGCTGGTCATGAAACCACTGGCTCAGTATTAACATGGACTCTTTATCTTCTAAGCAAGGTACAACAATTTGTCTCCATTATGCTCTTTCTGTTAAAGGACGACCTTATTTTAAACCATTTTTGTTTGCCTCACACTTTTAATATGTTTTTGAACAAAAAATCTTTGTTTTTCTCTATTTTTACCAAAGGATACTTAATTTGGTTTCTTTAGTAGACGGAACATATGCATGTATAGTTTTGGATATGATGAAAAAACTTATGCTACTGACACATACTTGTAATAAGCATACACATTACTTAAGATGGCTCATCAGGATTTTATTTTATGAAGGCAGGCCATTCAATAATAAGATTAAAAGATGGTTCGGGAGAGTTAGTTGTAAGTTGAATCTGTACTGCCCGAAGTCTCACCTATTGCAATATTGTCCGCTTTGGCCTAAAGGCTTGAAGGTTTAGGTGTTAGATATGTAAATACATAAAAATTGGCTGGTATGCATGTAAATCTTCGAAATATATAATCCATAATTACCTACAACCATGAAGAGTACTTGCTTAAAAGAGTTATTTTGAAATTTACTCACAAGTTAACATTTGCATTTTTGAAGGATTCCTCTGCTCTAAAAAAGGCACAAGAAGAGATTGATAAAGTTCTAGGAGGAAGGATTCCTACATATGATGATGTGAAGGAATTGAAGTACTTGAATCGTTGCATACATGAATCAATGCGCCTTTATCCACACCCACCTGTATGCTGAATCTCTTCTTTTATACCTGAAAATGGCTCTTCGATTGTAATTTCTAAATTGATCATCTTTTGTAGGTTTTGATAAGGAGGGCTCAAGCTGCTGACATTCTTCCAGGAAATTTTAAAGTTAATGCAGGGCAAGATATAATGATTTCAGTTTATAATATTCATCGATCTCCCCAGGTATGGTTTCTCCTCACTTAAATTAAAAAAAATTGGGCATTTACATACACAGCACACAGTTTTTATGTATTTACATATCCCACTCCTAAACTTTTATATTTACAAACGTAGCACTCACATATTTAATATCACATCAAAAATAGTACTATTAAGATTTTTTAAATGTGAAATACACATCTTTTCTTGCATAAATTTAGAGCACCAAAATGCTATGTAGGTAAATATGGAAGTTTAGGTGATATGTAAATAAATAAATTGTGTGCTTTGCATGTAAATTTCATGCATAGGTCTAAAGCACCAAAATACTACCTTTATTTGTTTGAAGGTCTGGGAAGGAGCAGAAGAGTTTGTACCTGAAAGATTTGATTTGGAGGGACCCGTTCCAAATGAGACCAACACTGATTTCAGGTTTTTCTATTATTACTGTCTTTACTATTTCTTTTATATATGTCATCGGATGAAATTCATAACTATCTGCATTGGACCCGTTAAGCAAGCTTGGTGGAGTAACTAGGTTTTTCCCCCCCTTTTTTTAAAATTTATGCATGAACCTTTTTAGTTTACATAAATACCACCCAGTTCGTATGTATTTACATATCTAACGCCTTAACTTTGCTTTCAACATATAGTTATACCAACCAAATATTTCATATCACATCTAACTATATCACTATTTTAACTATCAAAAAAGTGAAATACACCTTTTCATATATAGGTAAGGTATGTATATGTAAAAATTTAAATCTATGTATTGTTTGATATGTAAATAAACAAGATTTACATTCTAACGGTTGATAACAATTTCCATAGATTCATACCATTTAGCGGCGGACCACGCAAATGTGTTGGCGACCAGTTTGCTTTGTTAGAAGCCATAATTGCCCTTGCAATTTTTGTGCAAAATATGAATTTTGAGCTGGTTCCTGATCAGAAGATCAGCATGACGACCGGAGCAACCATTCATACAACAAATGTAGGTTTTTTTGGCTTTATTGTGAATTTTTCCTGCATTTTTCTTTAATTTATAGGCTTGCTTAAGTATCTGCCGTTTATTTATTGCCAGTAAGGAATACAGGTGATTTTTTTTAACCACCGAACCGATGTATTTACGCATTCCACCATCAAACTTTGAGAAAAAAATGAAAAATATGGGTTGGGCTTTTAGCAGGAATTTTGAAATTTGGGTGAAAATTTGAAAAATGGATGAATGAGGGTGGTTAATTTGTAAATAGCAATGTTTTGGGTGGCCTGTATGTAATCGCCCCTTTTTTTTGCAATATATAGTGCAATATTTAGTATTCCTGATAAAAACATTAACTTGAAATTAAATCACTTTTTAATGAATAAAAGATATTGCGTCCTGATTTCTCCTGCTAGGATAACTAGTGATATATTTCTTAAAGAAGCATGAAGTGATGCTTATTATTGTTTTATCTATTTGAGTATTTTATTTATGTGGATATTACATATATAACATCTAATCCTGCTATTTAAGGAACTAACCTCCAACTCGCTCCATTTATTATAATAACAACTAAAAAATCTCAAAGATTAAATAAAACCCTAATCTGTATTTTCTCTTTCATTAAATTCTCATTGGTTTGATTATGGCTCAGTGCAAATACATAGGTTTGATAATTCATTTTAAAAACCTAGGTATTAGTGTGGTAAAATTAAAAAAAAAAAAAAGATTTTGGTGATATTTGCGTTAAACCCCTTTTATTTATTAGTCATTGCAAATTTTGGCTGCTATTTTGCAAAACTCGACTTCTTTCAACTTCATTTTTTGATTCATTTTTTGGTTACATGATTGCAATAGTCTTCAATAATTTATTTTTAGTACCTTATCATTTGAGAATTCTGTTTTTTACAGGGCTTGTACATGAAGTTGAGTCCTAGGAATATATAGGAAGACAATTTTTTCTCTCTTGAAGGTAACTTCTTCTAATATGTTAAATCATTGTTATGCAAAAGCTTATCAGTTCTAGTGTTCATGCATTGTTTGGAACTCTCATTTCTTATTGATTGAGTAGTCCAAATGCCAGAGTTATTTCTATTTGTTTAGTGGTTTATTTAGGAGAATTTTTTTTTAGAATTTTACAAATAGTTCACACATTTCTATTTGGTTATGTGGAACCAGGAAAAGGAAATAACCACGGGCTCTTGCTTAGTTGAAATATTTCAATATGAGAAATGGTTATACAATTTCTCGGATTATAAGGTTTGTGTACAGAAGAATTTGTTGCCCCTTGGTAGTGAGCTGGCGGCAGCAGACAATGGAGGTTGACGGTGGGCCAGCGGGTGGCGGCTAGAATCGTCCACGGGCAGCCTCAACCAGATTTGGTCGGAGGCAAAGACAACCAAAGTTGGTTGAAGGCGGAGGCGGCAGCAGTCGAAGGAGATCTGAGTGGTCAGAGGAGGCGGTAGTCGGACTTGGCCTAAGGCAACGATTGTCGGACTTGGCCAAAGGCGGCGGTGGCCAAAGTTGGACGGAGGCGACGACGGTCGTAGTTGGACCGAGGCGACAGCAGGCTAGACTTAGTCGGATCTACATTGTAGGATTCTAAGCTGTAGATCCCTCTTCTATTGGTTCTGGTCTCCCTCTTGGCCAGGTTCAAGGTTTCCTAATAAGAAGGGTTTCCTAATAAGAAGGGCGGTAGGACTCTATTTATAGAGTACATGTTACAAATAAGGAATGAATCTAAAGTACTCTTGATCGGATGGTTTGAAGAGATCCCCTTGATCGGACGGCGTTTGATGAACATTTGAGTGACTTAATTATGTCGGAATTGAGCGATATTGGGCTCATTTGATTTGTCTCGTTGAGATGTTCAATTTGACTATAAGCACATCATATTCGAAATCCATTTGAACTTTTAATTATGACAGAAAAGCTCCCAAAATTGCTTAATGGCTTGATCTAAGCTTGATTTGACTTGAATTGGACCGATTTTGGTACTGTTTGGTTCGTTTTGTGGAGCCGGTCAATTTGACTGTATATTTGCTTAAATTAGAGTTTTGAATGATTTTTAATCGAAACCTGAATGTTTCTTACTCAAAAATTTGCCTCGAGAATCATATCATGCCTTGAGATTCTCGTCGGATGATGGAAATTCATTGAAGGCGCATCAAATACATAATTCTTAGATCTTACATTAATTTGGAGTGATATTTTGCTTCAATTATTCAACTCAAACATGATTAATGAGCAGAATATTTTATTCATTGCATTATATTCAAGCATCATAAGTTTCCAAACACTTTGTTCATAAAATAAGCCCATAAGTTATTAAATTTAAGTTACTTTTACTTTTGAGGGCTCATACATGACATGGTGTCCAATAAATATAACTGTACAATCTCTCTCTCTCTCTCTCTCGCTCTATATATATATATATATATATATATAGAAATCACAAACGAGTATTAT